AATGGGGGATGAAATCACCATGATAATGTGTGTGAGTATGGAAAAACTAAAAATAATATGTATAAAAGCTAGAGTATTATGTAATACTTACTCAAGAATTTGAGAATCACTTGATGAAGAATCAACCCTTGAAGAGTCTTGTTCGATTTTTGAGAGAAAGAGGTGAGGAAATTTGGAAGAACTGAATTTTTGGAGGTTGAGTAAGGCCTCTCGGCCGAGGGTATATATGGAGGAGGAAAAAGATGGTTTATGGATACTTGGGGGATATTTGCATGTCTAACATGGAGGTATGTTGGATAAAAGGGTGTAATGTTAGGAGGTCAACCCTTGGATTCTCCACCCAAACTGAAATCCCCAATACCGAGGAGGAGGTTTTTGGTTCTTAGTACCACTGAGATTTTGGTCCAATGAGTCCGAGAACTAGGTTCTCGGTTCCAACCAAGAACCCTAGTTGCGAGGTTTTCGGTCTGAGGGATGGGAGTTCTTGATTGCGAGGCTTCTCTCCTTTAGGGCATCTTTGTCCAACTTAAACACTTCCAAGACATTCTCCATGAAAATTAATTTTCAATAGACTTTTTAAGTGCTTATTACAACAAAGTTGTGATGTGGTTTCTACATTGCACATAGCTATACTTTATTCATCCGAATTTTTCCAATTGTCACAGTTACATCGTGACATGGCCGCGTTACGCGGGAAGGGTCATTTATGTTTCACGAGGTGACACTATATGGTTTAAGACGTGACACCTGATCAAATGTAAAACCCTAATTTCGGACTTCGACCCTATTTAAAGGATATAAGGAGTTAGGGTTCCGTTCACACTCGGCCTCCATCACCTCCAAACCTGTAAAAGAAAACCCTAATTCGTCTCCTCCATTTTAGGCTCATTTTGGTGCTTGTGTTTGCTTTTAAATGAATGAGGATGCCTTGGAACTTTTGTGAGTGTCTTTGCTAGCTTGGGGCTTCATTTTGATCAAGTTGGACATTTGTAAGTGTCCAAGATCCAAACTTTCTCATGCTAGGTTGCTAGATCTAAGGTTTTGTGCCATTTTCTTTAAATTTGAGATAGTTGAAATGGTATGATTCCATAAAGTTAGCAATTTTATGGATCATTAAGGTCCTTTGTATATCATATGGTTAAGATCTAGAAGTTAAATGTGTATTGGACCTATGCATATGATCTTTGGTGATTTTTCTTCATGTTTGACCTAGTTGGAGCCTTAGACTCACAATGAGCATGCATGGATAAAAAGCATCGACCTTTAGGTGTTATAGGACGATAAGAGGCTTTATGGAAATATTGGATTAATGGCTTAATGGGTTGAGAGTTGAATCAATCAATCTGAGATAAGTAGTTTTCATGATGTGACCTCCTTGTTGGCACGATGTAGAGACTGGGGTTTTCCCGATTAACTTCGACTAGTTATGTCACGATATGATGACATGTACATCATGGTGTGGCAATGAGATGGTTTGGATTGAGACTGAGTTGAGTTGACTAAGTTGAATCGTGGCTGAGTGGGACCTGGTTGAGTCCGTTTCCCACAACGTGACCATGAGCTGGTCACGACGTAAGGATTAGCTAATGGAAGTGTTGACCGTTGACTTGGTGACTTGGTTTGACTGTTAGTCCAAAGTAGCTAGTTTTAGAGGTTATACTAAGGTGGGGTCTTGTTTGATTCAATAGGTGTGTTGTAGCACCATTTACATGGCGTTGAGCTGTGTTTTTAGTTGACTTTGTAATACAAGTGAGTCTTCTCACTATGTATGTTAGGTTGGGCCCATTAGTGTGTATGTTGGGTTGGGCCCATATTTATATATGTTGGTTTGGGTCTATTTGTATGTTGGGTTAGGGGCCCATTAGTATGTATGTTGAGTTAGGCCCATTCTTGAGTATGTTGACTGGGCCTTTTTCCATGTTGGGTTGGCCCCATTTGTATATATGTTAGGTAGGGCCCATTTGTATAATATGTGCTATTTTGGGGAACTCCCTAAGCTTTGTGCTTACGGTTTTGTGGTTTAACATTTTTAGATATTTCCAATTCTAAATGGAAGGGTCTGGCTTGACTGCACAACATTTCCCTTATGATTTCCGCATTGATGACTATTGTTATACTATGTTGAGATACATTTTTATCATGATTGGTTTTTGGAACACGTGATGTATGAATTGAATGATTTAAAAATAATTTTTTACTAGTATTTTAGGGATGTTACATGCTGGAAAAAAACCTTATGTGAATTCGACTTCAAACAAATGAGATTCATGTTTTAAGTTTTTCACGAAATATAAAGTACAAAAACAAATAGCTGAAGAGCTAAAATTTTCCAACTTTAATATCCTGACTTCGAGAGACTTGTAAGTCATTGAATATTAAACCAAAAAATGACAAAATTGTAGTCTAAAATCATGTACAAACTTTAAACTATACGTTGAAAAAAAAATCATGTCAGTACGACTTCAAACAAATGAAATATGCACTTTTTAAAAGATTCACATAATACCCAAAAAAAAAAAAAAAAAAAAAAAAAAAAGACCCTTAAAAGTTATGACAAATTTATAGTCTAAAACCATGTACAAACTATAAGCTACACGTTGAAAACAACCACATGTTAATCCTCCTTTAAACAAATGAGATATACATGTTTTAAACTTTTCACAGAAACTGGTTTCGACCCCTAAAACCTGATCTGGTTCTTAAAACCGGTTTACCGAACCCGAAGAACCCAAACATGGATTACCCAAAGCCCAAATAAAACCATTTCTAAAACCCGGTGTAGAACTCAACCTCGGACCTCGTATTAAGCAACACAACTACTAAGTTTCTTTAAAATCATGTGGTCATTTCCAAAATTCCTCTAAAATTCAATCAAAATAAGAGTCATATGTCACTGTTGTATTAAATCTGTTGTAATCAAGTTACTTATGCAAATTTTAACTCGGTTTCAAATCTAAGATTTGGCCTAGAGTGTAAAATTGAATAATGATTGTTATTCAAAAACTAAACAATAAGGTGATATTTGTTTTTTAAATTGCAACATAAGTTTGGTGGTGGAGGTGGTGACATTGGTGAGCGAGTGGTGATGGTGGTGGTGGTGATGGTGATTGTGTCGTTTGTGTTGAAAGAGATGTCGATGGTAGAAAAAGAAATATTACATTGGGGCAAGAACTTAGAAATGTCTTCCAAAAACAAAAGCTATTGTCTTAATAAAAAAAATGTTAAAAATACTTTTTTATACTTTTTCTTCCGAAAAACAATCTTTTCCTCAAATGTATTCACCCTCCATTTAAGTGATCAAAAAGACCATTGGTCATAAAAAAAATACCACCTAATACTATGTTTGGTGGAGTAGTTGAAAACCCGACTAATATCTCAATTACTAACTAAAAAACTTGTTGTCAGCCGATTAAAAAAATAATATTTTATAAAACTAGTTAATAAACAAGCTGAAACATATAAAAAGACATAAAATGATATTTAATAGATTGGATTATTATTTTTTTAATAATTAATAAAGGGTAAATTTTGTGAACTTGAAAAAAAACTAAATTTGTTGAAACACTAGTCAAAATAATTTAATTAAAAAAAATATCACCTAATACTATCTTTGGTGAAGTAGTTGATAAGCCAACAAATATCTCAACTGCTAACTAAAAAGCTTGTTCGCAGCTGATTAAAAAAAACAATACTTTATAAACTAGTTATTAAACTAGCTGAAACAAAAAATAATAATAATAATAAAATAAAATAAAAAATAAAAGACATAAAATCACGTTTAGTAGATTGAATTATTATTTTTTAATAATTAATAAAGAGTAAATTTCTATGAACTTGAAAAAAACTAAATTTGTTAAAACACTAGTCTAAATAATTTAATAAAAAAGATAATAGAAAAAATACCATCTAATACTATATTTGGTGGAGTAGTTGACAAGTCGATTAATATCTCAACTGCTAACTAAAAAGATTGTTGTCAGCTTATTAAAAAAACAATATTTTATAAAACTAATTAATAAACTAGTTGAAACATGTAAAAAAGGCAATGATATTTAGTAGATTGAATTATTATTTTTTAAATAATTAATAAAGGGTAAATTTCTATGAACTTGAAAAAAAACTAAATTTGTTGAAACACTAATCTAAATAATTTAATTAAAAAAAATAACACATAATACTATGTTTGCTGGAGTAGTTGACAAGCAAACTAATATCCCAAGTGGTAACTAAAAAGTTTGTTGTCGGCCGATTAAAAAAACAATATTTTATAAAATTAGTTAATAAACCATCTGAAACATTTTTAAAAAAAAAAGATATAAAATAATATTTAATAAATTGAATTATTATTTTTTTAATAATTAATAGAGTAAATTTCTATGAACTTGAAAAAAACTAAATTTGTTGAAACACTAATCTAAATAATTTAATAAAAAAAATACCACATAATACTCTGTTCGATGGGATAGTTGACAAACTAAAAAAAATACCACATAATACTCTGTTTGATGGGATAGTTGACAAGCTGATTAATATCTTAATAGTTGACAAGCTGACTAATATCTTAACTGCTAACTAGTTAATACATTAACTGAAACATGTAAAAAAAAAAAAAAAAAAAGACATAAAATGACATTTAGTAGATTGAATTTTTTTTTTTTAATAATTATAAGGGGTAAATTTCTATGAACTTGAAAAAAAACTAGATTTTTTGAAACAGTAGTCTAAATAATTTAATAAAAAATTAAAAAAAAAAAAAAACCACCTAATACTATGTTTGGTGAATTAGTTGACAAGCCGACTAATATCTCAACTGCTAACTAAAAAGCTTGTTGACAGCCGACTAAGAAAACAATATTTTATAAAACTAGTTAATAAACTAGCTGAACCATGTAAAAAAAAAAAGACATAAAATGACATTTAGTAGATTCAATTTTTTTTTTTTAATAATTAATAAAGGGTAAATTTCTATGAACTTGAAAAAAGCAAAAATTGTTGAAACACTAGTCTAAAAAAACTTATAAGGTACTTGTTGATTTGTGAAACATGAGAAAAATAAGTTTAAATCTGTGATGCCAAACATAGCCTAAGAATAATAATAACTAAGAAAATATAAATTAGTAAGGTATGAAAAGTTTGAGAAGTTGATAAATACAAAATGACAAACAAAACTGAATTTCAAACCTTGGTGGGTACTGAAATATGAAAAAATAAAAAAAGAATGGTCAAGAAACTGAAACTTGGGTCTCGCTAATCACAAAAGCTTGAATAAGACTCTGTGCGGCATGAGCCTGCTCAGGTGTACCGGATATTATGATGAGAGTTTCTTTTTCTCCGGGTTTTGGATCAGTAATTGTAATCCGAGCATCAGAAATCTGAAAACAACCAACCAATTATAGCATCATACCATATAAAATAAGGGAATTCTACACAATTATAACAGCACTGGTATTAGGTTTTTCAAAGTGCAAAGAAACAAATTAATACATACCTCACGAATTTGTTTCAGACATCCACCATCCTCTCCATATATACAAGGAACAACGTTGCGTGGGACAATCACTTCCACAGTAGTGTTTGTAATAATAGCTTGGTGGCTTCCTCTGTATTGTATTCACAATCACAAAGCAATTAATACTTGATTGATTTATTTATTTATTTATTGTAATGAATTGAAATATAAACATATGCATACAAAGAACAAGACCAAGAGGTACACACCCTCCAAATCCACCCATTCTCCTTTGGGGGGCTCCTGCTCCCGCTCCTCCATATTCAGAAAAGCCAATAGGTCCACCTTCAATACCCTGTTGTATGTATATCAAATGTATTTATTATTCACACCAAGTTTCAATAACTTCACACTTCACATTCTTTTTCTTCTAATTAACTCTCTTCTATTTGTATAAACTATGTCTACCAAAAATTCAACATACATGGGGATGTTTTTTTATCTGTCACATGCTTTGCTTGGCAGGGAATTCAAAAACAATATTTAAAAAGTTTTTGGTGATGTGTCCAGATACACTATTACTAGTGGGTGGGTACCTATTCTGGGAGAGACTAACCTTTTATATGTGGTAGAGATTTTTATCATTGTGTTGAGTTTTTGGTGAATTAAGTAATACAAATTTTTGAGTTGTTTGATTAACTATTTTATCAATTGTTTGTGTGAGAGACTCACTAGAGCTTTAGCAGTTACTTCCCCCCCTCCTTTAGGGTTTAGGAAAAAAACAAAACAGTAGCAATGATATACCTCTAATATTAGTGAAGTAGTCTACAAAGGGTAAATTGGGAAATTAGAGAGAAGGATACCTGAGGAGCCCATGGTTGGTGGGGGTGGGAGAACCCTGGTTGATCATGCATATATGGAGGGGGAGGACGATCATCAAAGCGGTTGAAAGAGGAGGTGGAGTACCTCCCCATTCCCATTCCCATTCCCATTCCCATTCCCATTCCCATGTATGATGATGGAAAGGGTGGGCCATGATCAGGATTTGGAGGATGATTCATGGAGGGAAATGCATCCCGAAAGTAATGATTCCGCAAGGCTGTGGTTATTTGAAAAAGCGCCTCCTGAACTGCATCAAACTCACCATTTATCTGGCTCAAAAAATGGATAGTTAGTGTGTCGTCATCATCATTTTTCAAATCTATACAGCACTTGATATATATATATATATATATATATATATATATATATATATATATATATATATATAGAGAGAGAGAGAGAGAGAGAGAGAGAATAATAATAATAACATACCTGTACTACTTCTTCATTTTCAGCAGCATACTGTGGAGTTTGATCCTTTCCTAAAATACGAATAAAAGCCCCAGTAGAGTTTCTCATTTCAGATATAACTGCACCACCCTTTCCAAGGATACATCCAATCTGATGTGCAGACACTATGACTTTTGCTGTCACTGGCTTGGTCTCAGGTGCAGCCCTAAATATCCTTGTCTGTACACGAAGAACCGCATCTTGGGGAGCACATATCCGCTCATCTGGGACCTACAATACAATACCATAATACATCACTACTAGCAGGGTTACTTTTACAGTTTACTTCCATTTCTTCAATGTAGGTTGATATATCTATATCTATATATATAGTAAACTAAAGTTTTCAAAGTATACATACAAAACAATATTCATTGCCATAAATAAGAGATTCAAATTTGCAAAGTAGAATGGTATAATTGGGTACCGCTGGTCCAGATATGACAATGATGCGGTCATCTGACCCAACACTTCTCTCAAGGACTTTAATGTCACATCCAGTCTCGTGCTTAAGTGCCTTCACGGTAGCCCCTCCTTTTCCAATTACACCTCCCACCTTCTCATCAGGGCATATCAAACGGTAGGTTAGCATGTCTGTGAAAGGACCAAAACGCCCTCCCTCACGATGCCCTGCTCCTCGTCCATTTGGATGATGTTGTGGATGCGGGTCTTGCTCGCAAATATTGCTATTACTCGCATTCACATTGTTGGCAGGCAAAGAATCACTCTTCTCCCAAGCTCGACCTGGATGATCCAGAAGCTGCTGTGAAACAGATTCAAGCGCTTTCCTAACTGCACTCACTTCTCCAGAAATCTGTTTGTTATTTAACAAACAAACAAACTCTGTGAGTTTGATGGCAGGCAGCATGGGTTAGATAATAAATCTTGAGCTTACCTGAACCAATTCATCAGAAGATGATGCACATGCAGGAAGTTTATCCCTAGGAAGAATCCTTATTTGGGCCCCGCTTTCAGAAGCCATTTGCTTGATTACACCACCAGATTTTCCCAAAAGGCAGCCCACTTGAGAAGAAACTACAAGTAGCCTCACAACAATTGTTTCTTCATTCGTTTCTGCTTCCCCTTCCACCATTCTTTCAAACACACAAAACAGACCCTTCTGCACACAAGAACCCAAATCTTCCTCATGTGTTTCTGCATCATCAGCTTCCTTCTTCTGATCGTTTGAGATTCCATCAGATCCTTCAATCACAATTACTCTCTCATTGCAGCCAGGGATCGGTTCCTCAACCCTCACATTTGCACCACGTATCTTGTTGCCTTCTTTGCCAATTACACTTTCAGTTTTAGAAGCAGGACAAACCACCCGAAAAACAATAAATGATGTATTTTGGGAAGTAATATGAGTTGACTTCTGCAACTTCCCTTTCCCATTGGCTTCTGAGGCCTCACCCTCATCAAGGCCCCTCTTCGAAGGGGTTAATTGAGATGACATATCAAACCCTAGTACCAAATGAAAACAAATTTTAAAATTGTTGTTGTTGATTGAAAATTAAAACTTCTTGTCTGCTAGAATCAATTAAGATTCATAATTCACCAGATATAAACAACTGTTGATTACAATCAGGGAGTAATATTAAAATTAATGATAAGTCCATATCTTCAATTTCTAATACAATGTATCACACAACTAACTGGCACAAGATTATTGTTTAACATGAGTTCAGTTTAGTGTTTCCATTGGCATCCAAAAAAAAAACCTAACTAACAAATTCCAGCCGAAAAAAAACCATCTTTCAATTCTATACTCTATGTGTATAGTGTGTATACAGACAGTCCTCAATAAACTATATAAACAGTACACAAATTGTGGGTTCAAATAATTCCTGATGTTGAAAAATACACTTACACACATATGCTAGTGTAAACAACAAACAGATTGCGAAAAGGACTTGACCTAGGTTTTAAGGATACCTTTTCTCGGCGAAGACGACGAAAGATGATGGAGAGAATGATAGCGCACTCGTCAGGTGCTTGCAAAGAGTTATCTACGCGCCAGAAGAGTGATTTAAGCGGTGGGCTATAAGGTGGCTGTTTGGTGGTGGCGTCGCAACTCTGGACACGTTAAGTCACGAGGGAGGAAAGTTTTCGGTCTCGATGAACAAAAGATAACCATACGGGTCACGTGCATCTCACTAGTAACTAAAAGTTACATATCGGTCCCTCATTTTTTCACCAAACCACTGGATTGGCCTGGTCCGGGAGAACGGAGTTGTGGAGCGGGGAAATCGTGGGTTAGGGCGGTACCACCGGGTTGTGAATTTTTTGACCAGGGGCTCTAGTAGGTTTGAGGAGTTACTCGGCTGTCAAAGGGTTGGTAGACCTATGAATTTTTGTTCGGCTGTCAAAGGGTTGGTAGACCTATGAATTTTTGTTCAATGCATGCATGTGAAGAGAAAATATTGGTCTGTTCTTTCTGTTTTAATGCATCCTGTGAAGATTGAAACTGTATTTTTATTTTATTTTGTTTTTTTATATAATGTGTATATATGTATCAACATATCCAACTTCATTCAATTTTATATAAATTTCTCTAAAAAACTCTCCAATTTACTTACCTTCAATAGATTCCCGAAGCAAAAGCTAAAAAAATCAATTTTAGCCAAAGACGTAAATCTAGGGATGAACAATTTGTCCCAAATCCCAATCTTGTACCGCTACCGTACCGAATTTAAAAATACGGGATAGTACTTGGTACTCCAAATACATGAAATTAGGGAATCGGTACCGTCGGTACCGGTAATAGTATCGAGTACCGGTACCGGTACCGGTACTCGGGATTAACTTTCGATCAAATTCGGTATTCGAGAAATCGGGAACGGGACAGATCAGTACCGATTCCATCCCACGCTCATCCCTACGTAAATCCACACAAGGCGTTTCAAGTCAAGATATTCCATTTTCTTCTCCAAAATTTCAAAACCCAAACTATTAGCAAAACCAAAACTATCAACAAAACCAAACTATCCACAACATAATTTACCCATGCAACAATCTTATAACACACACGCACACACACACACACACACACACACACATATATATATATATATTCAGAGGAAAACTCGGGTTATAACCATTTATGTAGTTTTCTCAAAAGGGTTCCAGAAACTCAGTTTTAATCTTCTCATCCCGAGACTTTCCAGTTCTATGATGCTCAGAACATAGAATCTTTCAATTCTAGTGATAACCCAGTTGTTGAAAGAATTGAAGAAGTCGAAAAACAAGTCAACGAGGAGTCGCAACCCGTTCCTGAGAAAAAAACACAGCTATACAAAGCGCCAAAAGTCAAAGAAATTGGTGGTACGTGAAGAGTTACTTTCGGTTAGGGCATTGACGATGTTTCTACAGATAAACAATGTGGAAATCAACAAAGGTCAATGCATTTTGGGAATGGATTCTAGAGAATTTAATGTTCAACTGGAAGGTTCGGATAGATCATGACACCAAGTAAACTCAAAATGGAAAAACCTCAAATGAAATGTAACGATTACAACTGCATCTATAACCGTAAGATGAACAATCTAGTTAATGGGAGATTTAAGGCTGATGTTTTAAAAGATACATAAAGCAATTATCAGAGGACTAGTAATCATATAACTTTTCCTTATGAAAAAACTTGGGAATGGTTGAAAGACCAAGCGAATGGGTGTTATTAAAAAATTTGGTGAAGACTTATCACCTCATTTTTCAAAATGAACCAAAACATCTTCATCTAACGCCTACACAACATCTTCCAATGCACAATATCCTCATAGATTCCCCTAATAACAACGGTCATTTAATGTTGAAAACTCACCACCTTAGAGAAAAAGAAAAGGAAAGAAAATGGCATCGGCATCGTCAACACATAATGAAATATTTAATATCATCAACGAAATTGACGACATCAACACTACAACCAGAACAGATGTGGAACAGAGACAATGATACTAGGAAGAAAAATAATGCATTTCCCAAGTAAATAAAGAACAAAAGGCTCAACTGAGCATGAGATAAAGAACCAAGATATGCAGTATTTTCTCTAACCTCATGATCATTTGACTAGAGGTATTCTACGTACGGTGCTTAAAAAGAAATGACAAATTGTAACTAATATGGTTGGGAGTTGTAGAAAGCATGAAATTTAGAATGTTTCACCTTTATCTTTTAGATGATCTTTTTTCTTAATCTTTTTCTTTTTCTTAATCTTTTTCTTTTTTCTTTTCCAAAAGATTTTCTATATGTAACTTTTTATCTATATATATATGTTCTTCACAATTACTATATTTTCTCTCTTTACAAAACCCTGAAATCCATATTCTCTTTATACAAAATGAATCCAAATGTTCAGAAAATAGTAATGGAAGATAATCACTATAGTTCATTTGACGATGAACTTATCAATGAAATTTGTTACCTGCATTATGTCATACTGCACAAGATCTGCTTCAGAATCATTCTAGTTCAAGCAACATTCAAAGGAGAAATAGAATCCAAAAAGATCGTTTGGAGGTTGAACAAATACTAATCTGACATTACTTTGCGAATGATTCAACCTATGTTAACGATCATTTTTGTAGAAGGTTTCGTATGAGAAAAGGTTTGTTTATGCAACTTGTTGGTGACTTGGAGATGAATTATCCCTATTTTCAAACAACATGGAATGTGACAAAATCAGAGAAGTTTCAGTGCGCTACAAAAATATACATCAACAATATGTTAATTAGCGATGGTTTATAACCCATAGTCGTTATATGAGTATCTAAATACGCCAGAAAGAACTTCTCGTGAAACTCTTCAAAACTTTTGTGTAATATCCATAAAAATCATATCAATTTAAAACTTTTTAAATCATTCAAAAACCAACAGTTATTATAAATTTGTTTTCAAAATAGTTCCATATCAGAGTATCCAAAATTGTTTTCATTATGGGCCTCTTACACCCCTATTCTCGCACAGACGTCATTGTAGAATTATTGAATCGAGGAATGAAAACAAAATCAGAGTAA